GAATGGATCTACAAATCCTCTCAACACCTGTTCTATTCTATCGGCATATTTTAACAGCTTTTAGCCTGCTCAGTACTTAAGAGTGAGACTTTGCGAACACTGGCTACTATAAGTAATGGCAGACACCATAGAATCGTGATATCAATTGAGCACGACCCCACCGACAGTAGCTTAGGATAAGACTACCGTATTTTTTTTGTGTACAATACGATTTTATTATAATATGACCCTGTGTTTCTGAAACTAAAAATAAGCGTTTCTACACAGCTGACAGTTTAGATATTTCTGAACGACTTTTGCGCCAGGCACGACACAAAAGAATGGCGTAATTTCTCTGCCAGAAAATAAAAGACACTACTGAGCCTCACTCTGTCAGGAGGCCCAAGAGCCACTTAAAGTGTAGATCAACGAATTTGTTGTAAGTGCGTAAATAGAGGAAGTATGAATTTACATTATTTACATTGTTCCGACTGTTTTCCTCATCTTTATTGCCATATTCACAATGTTTCTGCCATTGTACGCTCCGGCTTTCGTCAGGTGATTGGAATTTGGAACTTAACACTTTATTTTGTCCACCGGCTTAGATTATTCTAGTTCCACATTCCATGCCTCTTCCGGATGGATGTCTCAGTTATCTCTAACTCTTGTAAAAACGTATTGAAGTGGCTTCCCGCTGCTCCAGCCTTCTTCATCTGATTGCGGACACAGTGAATAAAAGCGTTGGTTGGATCCAGTGACATGACACATAGAGTTGTGAGTTCAATACCCGGCTACGGCAGTAGTGGTGAAGAAAAACTTGGAGAGTTGAGTTCAAGGGAGATAACTGAGACATCCGGGAGAGGCATGGAACGTGGAACTAGAACAATCTACCCCGAAATAAAGGATTCAGTACGAAATTCCAATAACCTGAAGAAGACCGGAGCGTACAACGGCCGAAACGTCGTGAATATGACAATAAAAACGAGGACAACAGTCGAAACACTGTAAATAATTTCAATAATTACAATAACTCATCTCAGAAATATGGAGAGATCCTAAGAAAGGCCGGAGCGTACAACGACCTAAACGTCTTGAATATGGCAACGAAGATGAGGACAACAGTCCGAACAATGTAAATAGTGTAAATAATTGCAATACATCATCTCAGAAATATAAAGAGATCCTAAGGAAGACCGGAGCGTATAACGACCTAAACGTCGTGAATATGGCAACGAAGATGAGGACAACAGGCCGAACAATGTAAATAGAGTAAATAATTACAATACCTCATCTCAGAAATATAGAGAGATCCTAAGAAAGGCCGGAGCGTACAACGACCTAAACGTCGTGAATATGGCAACGAAGATGAGGACAACAGGCCGAACAATGTAAATAGAGTAAATAATTACAATACCTCATCTCAGAAATATAGACAGATGTAGAGAAGGCAACGGGACACCATTCGAGAGTCTTTTCTAAAAAGTTATAACCATTCAATTTACCCCTGCTATGGATTAAATAGTAAAATTCCTTCAAATCATGGGTAAGGACTCCACTGAATTGAAGACTGTGTGGAAAGCAACGGGAAGCCACTTCAGTACTTTTTTCCAAGAGTTAAAGAGAGATAGCTGTGACATCCGGAAGAGGTATCGAACGTGGAACTAGAACAATCTATCCCTGTGGACGAAATAAAGGGTTCAGTTCGAAATTCCAATCACCAGAAGAAGGCCGGAGCGTACAACGGCCGAAACGCCATGAACATAGCAATAAAGATGAGGACCACAGTCCAAACAATGTCAATAATTACAGTACCTCATCTCAGAAATATAGACAGATAAGGAAGTATGAAGGGTACATTCTGAGGATAAGTAGGATGGATAACGGTCGATCCTAGAATTGTAGAGTTTTAAGATCGCAGCGGTCGAGAAAATGGGAGTCTGTTCCAGAAAGTAACAGCTTTCCGGAAGTAATACCGATCCCCACTTCCTCTTTAGTACATTACCCCTTCATTATATTTTCAGGTGCCCTCAGCGCCGAAGACAATGACGCAACTGAGTTGCACTCAGTCCGAAGGCAGCGACGAAATTGAGATTGAAAATGCATTGTGTCTGTCCGAGAGCAGATACTACACTTTGATCCTAGTCCGATGGCCACGATGCGAAGAAAGAGCATAAATCGAGCAGCGCGCGCAGTTTAGCTCAATGAAAGGCCAAATGTTTCCTTATGAGGAAACGGCAAATATTACCATTACTTGAATAACACATAAAACAAGCTGCAAATCTTTATGATGAGCGGATAGGTTAGCCTTTCGTCCGGTTCACACTCCTCCTCAGCCTTTTGAACAGGAGTAGAGGTTTATCCCTTGTTTCCTGTTCAGGGTTGACTTGCCGGTGCCTTCTAAAATCTACTTACACACTGTAGTGTAAATCTTGTCAACTTCAAGCCTAGAGTTGACGTCTGTCATTCCTTCATCGCCCCAGGAACGCCACTTCTTCTCCTTTCTTACGCTAGTACCTCACACACTGCGAACCTCTACCTTGAGTCGTTCTCGGGCCTTGTATTGGGTGATTCAATAGTGAAAAAAATATATTGTTTTTTTCGTAACACAGAATTTCGGTGAAATGTGACGGAAATCCAGGGGAAAAAATGACACAAAATAAAAGTTTTCATCACTGAATAATAACATTATTTGGACGATTGTCCTCATCTTTGTCGCCATATTTATTACAACGTTTCGGCCGTTGTACACTCCGGCATTCTTCAGGTGGGTGGAATGTCGAACTGGATCATTCATTTCGCTCACTGGGGTAGACTGTTCTAGTTCCACGTGCCATGTCTAATGTATGTCAGTTATCAGTCATCTCCTGTTAATTCCCCGCTCCAAGTTCTCCACTGTCGTAACCAGGAATTGAACTCACAACTCTTTGGGTCCTGTCACTGGATCTAACTAACGCCTTTATCCACTGTGCCATGTGTCCTTGAGGACATCTGTGTATGTAAAAAATGGTTGCTGAAGACATTAGGTTTATAGTACTCAGAAATTCATACACAGATGTCCTCAAGGACACATGGCACGGTGGATAAAGGTGTTAGTTAGACAGGACCCAAAGAGTGTGAGTTCAATACCCGGTTAAGGCAGTGGAGAACTTTCAGATGGAAATTAACAGGAGATAACTGACAACTGACATCCATTAAACATGGCACGTGGAACTAGAACAGTCTACCTCAGTGAGCAAAATAAAAAGTTCAGTTCGACATTCCAACCACCTGAAGAAGACCGGAGCGTACAACGGCCGAAATGTCGTAATAAATATGGCGACAATGATGAGAACAATAGTCCGAATAATAAAAATAATGTACATAATACCTCATCTCAGAAATATAGACGGATCTGCAATGTTATTTGTACTGACCTGGCATCTCCGCTTCAGTCAATTTCCCACCGCCGTAACGTACTTCCCTGTGCCTTTTCTATAAATGCTTTCATGTCTATTGTTCTCATGGACGTTTCTCTATGGTATTTGTTGCTTTTTTGTTCCCCTCCTGCACAGACAAAAAAATCTACATATGGGGACTAATTAGTACTTTATAGAGACTCAGAGATATTACGGTGGGTGTAGTAAGAATGTTAAGTAAAGACGAGTTGTTTTAGTGTAAGGTATGTTTGGATCAGCAATTTAAGTTTAAGATGAGACAGATTGAAGAACAATCTCCCTCCCCATCCTCCTTTTTTGGCCTTGTGCCACATTTTGTAGCTTTACAAAATAAACTAACAATTTATATAATTTTGTGTAGATAAATTAGTCTTTTTTTGAATAACACAGATCTAGTGAATTCTGCTATATAAAGAATGGTTAGGGAAACTTTGCTTCGGAAATATTCCATAGTGGGCTCGTAAGCGATAATTTAGACATTTTTTTTAGACATTTCCGAAGTGAATATTGAACATTCCTGTCACGTATGATCCGGTGCCCTTGATATATATTTACAGAATAACATCCGCAGTGTTATTCGTCCTGACCTGGCATCTCGGATTCACTCGGATTCCCACCGCCGTAAGGTACTTCCCTGTGCCTTTTCTATAAATGCTTTCATGTCTATTGTTCTCATGAACTTTTCTCCATGTTATTTGTAGCTTTTTTTTATTCCCTTCTCCCACAGACGAAAAAAAAGGTGCTAATGGTGACTAGTTAAAAATTCATCGAGACTCAGAGGTATTACGGTGGGTGTAGTAAGAATGTTAAGTAAAGATGTGTTGTTTTAAAGTAAGGTATGTTTGCGTTAGTAATTTAAGTTTAAGATGAGACAGATTGAAGACCAATCTCCCACCCCCATCCTCCTTTTTTGGCCTTCTGCCAAATTTTGTAGCTTTACAAAATAAATTAACAATTCATATAATTTTGTGTAGATAAATTAGTCTTTCTTTGAAGAACACAGATCAGATGTTAGCAGCACGGATGACAACGAAAAAATAGGTTTAATGATACTACGAGTCAATCATACCATATAATGGATATTTAGGGAATCTCTGGTTCAGAAATATTCCACAGTGGACTCGTAAGCGATACTTTAGGCATTTTTAGACATTTCCGAAGTGAATATTGAACATTGCTGTCACGTATGGTCAGGTGCTCTTGATATACTTTTATATATAATACCTCATCTCAGAAATATAGACAGGTACTGAATAATGACGCCATACAATTCATAAATATCATGGCGTCATTAATAATGTTTGAACAAAATGGTAAATGCATAAAAAGGTTCCGGGAAAATAATGCCGGAAACTTTTGCATCAGAATAACCGATAATTATCGATACTCTTGCACGGCCGCCCCAAGATTTTCTTCTGGGAGAACAAAGCCATAAGGCAAACATAAAACGCTAACTGGGCCGTCGAGTCCCTACAATCCACTGCCATCTGGAAGTTCGATTTGCTTGAGCGCAAATATTTCTTTTATCTGTAAGGAGACTTTAATGACCGCTGTAGCAGGCCCGACGCCATAATTACCTGACACTGATTACAGCTTCCGCTGTTGGAAAACTGAAGCCGGAAATAGAAGCCATGTCCGTAACTGGAAGAAGAAGAAGAAGAAGAAGAAGAAGAAGGAGGAGGAGGAGGAGGTAGAGAAGGAGGATGGGAAGAAAAAGAGGAAGAAGGAGGAGGAGGAAGAGGTAGAGAAGGAGGATGGGAAGAAGAAGAAGATGGTGAAGGAGGAGGAGGAGTGGGGAGAGAAGGAGAATGGGAAGAAGAAGAAGATGGTGAAGGAGGAGGAGGAGGTAGAGAAGGAGGATGGGAAGGAGGAGGTAGAGAAGGAGGATGAGAAGAAGAAGAAGAAAAAAAACGAGGAGGAAAAGGAGGAGGTGGAGGAGGAGGAGGAGGAGGTGAAGAAGACGAAGGAGGAGGAGGGAGAGAAGGAGAATGGGAAGAAGAATAAGAAGAAGATGGTGAAGGAGGAGGTAGAGAAGGAGGATGGGAAAGAAGAAGGAGGAGGTAGAGAAGGAGGATGGGAAGAAGAAGAAGAAGAAGAAGAAGAAGAAGAAAAGCCACAAACTGACCATCGAATAAAAAAAGAAAATTACAGATGGCCGTCTTGGTTTATAGCGTTTAGGTTTGTCTGGTCGAGACGAAGGTTTTTCCAATTATTTTCATACGGGGTTAGTGAGAAACATTAAATATTCGGTTGTTTAATGAAGGGTTACGGAAAACAATAGACCGGTGATGGATTGTATTCATTATTAATCGCCGTTGTTGATTTGGCAGTTAAGTGATTGTCTTTATGTTTCACAAATATCTCGCTTTCTTTCCCACGGATGGACATGACATAAGATTGACTTCACAGGAATACGGATAGAATTGTCAGTCAGGAAGCGTACCGGGCCAACTATAGAGGTAGTAAGAATCAGATAGATAGATAGATAGATAGATAGATAGATAGATAGATAGATATGAAAAGACCGCGAAATATAGATAGATAAATCGATATATAGCGTGTGTAAGTTAGATAGATATAGTGTGTGTATACAGATAGATAGATAGTGATAGATAGTGTGTGTAGTGACAGATAGATAGATAGATAGATCGATCGATAGATAGATGTAAACAGCATGAGATATATAGATAGATACAAAAACAATGAGATAGATAGATAGATAGATAGATAGATAGATATTTACAGAATTATAGATATTAACAGAATGATAGATAGATAGTATTGTGAGACCGGAAACTACCTACACAATAGACTCTTCCAGGCCTATATAACACTGTACAGAGTGACACAGAGAGACCGTGACAGCCGCGTTCACTACCAGTATTGGACACTAACATATAGTAAGCTCCGCTCACACTATCTCTGTAACCTGTTGTTAATATATCTTTCTTACATCTAATCTGTGTTCCGTGTTTTCCTTCTGTGGTCCCGAATTTGGCCCCACATCAGTGGCGACGAGAATTCTAGAAACGCTCTCAAGGCGAAACCTAAATACCTTACCAATCCCACATCTGGGTCGACGAAGAATTTGAGAAACGCATTCACGTCGAAAAACCGCAATACTTTGTCAGTCCCACAACAGTGGCGACAGGAAGATTCGAGAATTTCGTTCTCACCATATCAATAGCGACAGTACTCGAAAAATACACAAACTACACGCGTTCTCACAGCAGTGTTGAACGAGAAATTAAGCTGGTATTACTACATTAGCGATTTAAAAGCTACGCACCCAGCGTCTATATATATTCCAATACCAAACATCAGTGACGAGCAGTGTTTCGACATCTACGGAATATTAAAGTCTGTCCAAATAACATTACGAGAACGATTTCTTACACACTCACACACAGAAAAAAACAAAACAAAAAAAGCAGTTTGTTCATAAAACAAACTGACGACACAAGTTTTCAAAAAAAACTATCTAAAAATGTTTTTATGTAACTAAGTTGAACTCGGGCATAAAATTATTCTCCCCTCAAATTCACTGAGGCGAGTTTTTTTTTTTCTTTTTTGTACCTCTATACAAAAAAAATACATAAGTGTGTTGAAAATTTATACAATTACGTTAAAATTAATGGAACCACATAATCTCAAAAAAAAATCTAAACACATAATTAGTTTAGTTTAACTAATTGTCTGTCCATATTTTTTTCTGTAAAAGAAAAAAAAAAGGAACAAAAATCTATCAAGATTTTTTGTGTATCTCCTCTTAGCACACGCGTTTCAAAAAAACAAAAAAGTGTTGTCATTTTTAAATATGAAAGATTTGCAAAAAGTAGTTGCCCAAATGTTAAAACTAAATTTGGATCAGCAACAAAAATCAGAAGGAAGACAACAACAACTATTTTTGGAATTACATAAACAACAAATGGAATTCCAAAAAATTACGCTTCAGAATGCTGAACTACAACAGAAACAACTTAAAGAATTACTCGTAAATGCATTAAAAGGCTCAAACTCTGAAAAAGATACAATATTCTCCCAGAGTACAATCTACAATTCAATAGAAACCTTTGAATACGTACCAGAGAACGACAAAACGTTCGACGCTTTTTACAGGAGCTACGAAGATATTTTCAACATAGACTGTGAACAATGGTCCAGTAAAAAAAAAAAAAGGTACGTCTACTATTAAGAAAACTGGGAACTACAGAATATAGTAGGTTCGTAGACTTCATACTACCCAAGAAAACGACTGACTTAGATTTTTCAGGGACTATTAAGCTCCTATCGGAACTATTCGGGCCTAACACAACCTTGTTCCACAAACGTTGGAAATGTCTGAACACAGTCAAAGACAACCAGCAAGATTTTCTAACGTTTGCAGCATCGGTAAACAAGCTCTGTAATGATTTTAAACTAGCCGAACTGACTGCCGATGATTTTAAGTGCTTAATTATCGCACAAGGTCTAGTATCAGCAGAAGACACCGAAGTACAGACCAAGCTTGAGAACGAACAAGGATTGACTCTCCAAAAACTGGCAGAGGACTGTCAAAGAGTAATATCTGTAAAGCGTGACTCAAACACTTCTGTGGTCCCGACTTTGGCCCCACATCAGATAGATAGATAGATAGATAGATAGATAGATAGATAGATAGATAGATAGTAATGTAAACTAGAAGATAGAGGAGGAGGTACTTTTGATGCGGGGTGGTAGCACCTGTTAGGGTCTCAGCTGAGGGCAAATAGTTAACCCCTAAACTGGGGTCAAAACACTATGAACGTGTAAAAATAGGTTTTAATACCAGAAATAAAAAAATTATTTCCACAATACATTTTTATACTATTTACATTATTCGGACTATTGTCCTCATCTTTGTCGCCATATTTATCACAACGTTTCGGCCTTTCAGTATCTGTCTATATTTCTGAGATGAGGTATTATGTACACTGTTTACATTATTCGGACTATTGTCCTCATCTTTGTCGCCATATTTATTACAACGTTTCGGCCGTTGTACGCTCCGGCCTTCTTCAGTTGGTTGGAATGTCAAACTTAACCCTTTATTTCACTCACTGGGGTAGACTCTTCTAGTTCCACGTGCCATGTCTAATGGATGTCAGTTATCAGTTATCTTCTGTTAATTCCCCTCTCCAAGTTCTCCACCGCCTTAACCAGGTATTGAACTCTCAACTCTTTGAGTCTTGTCACTGGATCTAACCAACCTCTTTATCCACTGTGCCATGTGTCATAGACAGATACACTTTTTTATGTTTTTTTTTTTAAATATTACCAGCAGTACATTTTAGAAAGAAAAAAAATATTACCAGCTTTACATTTTTGAAAAAAAAATATTACCAGCAATTAATTTTTGAAGAAAAAAATATTAACAGAAATGGATTCTTTTGGAGGAAAAATATTATCAAAAATAGATTTTTGAAGGAAGAAAATTTTACCACAATACATTTTTTGATATTACCAGCAAAAAAAGATTTTGTCGGCATTAAATAACCTATTGAGGTTGATATGCTGTAAAGCAAAATGAAACAAACCAAACCAAACCCTTGCATTTCATTGCTTGGATTGAAATGACTTTAAAATATTATATTTAGATGCAAAAAAAGGAAGAAAATAGTCCGAAGACCAGGGAAAAATATGTAACTGGAAAAAGAAAAAAAAACAAGAAATGTACTCATAAATATGCAATATTAAAACTTAACAAATCTCTCCTGGGGTAGCAGTTCTTTTAAAAACGGAGACGGACATGTTTAAATCGGAACCTTATTAAAAACTAGCAGCATGACCCAGCGTTGCCCGTCCTTGATTCAAAAATCGTACAACTCATACAGCAATCGCTATCACTTGACTTAAAATATTTTTGCCCTTCCTTGCCTTTAGAGGAGTGCCCTTTGCCGTGCTGATGTTGCTACATGCCTTACTTCTTGCCTATCTCACACTGCAAATTTTTTCTAAGCTCTATAGTAAACATTAAATCTGTTACGAAAAAAGAACTAAACAAAATAAACACAATACGATCAGCTTTAAAAAACCGGAAAAAACATTCTTAAGGGTTGACCGATTGTCGATTTGCACTCTGTTTGGGGGGGTGCTCAGAGTTGAAACTTCACATGATGACTCCCAATGGCCTCTTCATAAATCCGTCCGGGCTTTCGCTAAAAACCGACATGCGGTTCAGCCGTAATCTGGGCGTATCGGTTTTGGGGTTTTATCGATTTTCCGCGCTTTTTAGGGGTCCGTGGTCATGAAACTTCTGGACAACACTTCTAATGATAGACTCTTAGAGGGTGTCAAATTTGGTTGAATTGCGATCATTCCTTCTGTAAGCAGAATTTTTTCGATTATCGATTTTTTCGGAACCTGATTCCGAACTCAAAAATCGGGCTCCATCATGTCCTTACGGCAGCCATTTGCAAACTTGTGTTGAAAACCGCATCGAAATCGGGTGAGAAATGCAGCCTGGGCGAGGTAACAACGCCCACAACAGAAACACATACAGACAACATGAGAAATATAGATAGATAGATAGATTTATCGCAGAATACAAACGAAAATATACCAAAACTGAACATTCTTACCGAAAAACCAATAACTAATTCCTGCCTATCGCAAAAGTTGTATTTCCATTCAAATCACATTACACTTTCGATCACTATATAAACGACGCATCACTATATAAACTGATGTGGACGCTTCGACATGATATAAAGTTTAACAAGCTTGTCTCGCTTGATCAGTTAAACTCTGTAATGAGCTCGATCCACACTGGATGCTCCATACTTTCGGCCTTGTGTCATATCTAAGCCACGTGTATAAAATCATTTTGGTGCATCTTCTACATGCTGTAATGGTTAACAAGTTTGGCGTACGTGATCAATTACGACAGAGTAGTGAGTTCGATCGTCACTGGGTGCTGCATACATTCGCACTCCTTGTCGACCTTTTTTGAACAGGAGTAGAGGTCTATCCCTTGCTCCCTGTTTAGGTTTTGTCTTCCCGTTCTTTCTAAAGACTTCTCATTCAATTTTCGCTCTTAGGAGCCCCTCCCCTGAATCTTAGTGGCATTATCACCTTGTCTGGTGTAAACTATATATAGCGGGGTTACTTATAGTCAGTTTCTTTTCGTCACGGTAGGATGACCTTGTGTTGTATCGTGATGGTCCGGGTTCGATTCTCGGTAATGGCATACACACTGCTGATGAGTCCCAAACAGGACGAAACGGCCGTCCAGTGATTTCTGCGATCAGTTGAGGAGTCTTCTAGGTTTGAATTAATTACTCTAATCCCCCCAAATCCTATCACTTGTATATCCTTGCTTGACCCAGGCAATGCTCTAGCGACTAAGTTGAAGGAAGACGTTGCTCTTGAGGTACAAACTGTTGGGTTATGAGTACTTGGAGGAGAATCACCAATATATAGGTGAACATATTGAAAAAGAAAGAGGAAAAAAAACTAGTAAATAAAATTTGAGTATAGGCAGTGAGATTAGAAATGTAGTTAAATTAAGAGCACATGTGATTCAAGTGCATATATTCAGGTAGGGACAGTTCATTATGGAACCGCTTTCCTTAATGAATTTTAACTATATACGGCCGATTTCTCGTTCCAAACGACTATTCATTATGCCCCCTGCACAAGAATTATTACATAATAATAATAAAATTGTTGGGACAAAAACGCTTTTAGACTAACATGTGAAAACCTATTTTTTGTGTCGGAAACCTACCACCCCTCTTGAAGATGAACTTGTCTGCGTCTGTGAACAAAGACTTTAAATAGTGGCATGTCAGCTGACATGGGGGGCGGGTAAGACAGATAGACCGAGAGGGTAAGACCTCCGAGTCTAGCTGAGTCGTGATACAGTCTTTGACTGTAAGCGACGTCAGTCGAACTCTCTGCGTTAGCAGAGAGGAACAGACAAGCTCTTGCCGAAAGGCAAGGTTTCGTCAGGGAGGTAGACAAGGGCCTGAACCCGTCTAGGCGGGTTCAAAGGCTATATTTTTGGCCGAGCCTACGGGCTCGGAGATACCACATTAAACCGGCCTTGTGCCATATTCAATCCTCGTGGGTGGATCGATAAATACTAAGACAGATAGACAGAGAAGTTCTTAGCTGAGCTAGTTATAGACTACTCAGGCGATTTCTGTACCTTTTTACCAACCTATTAAATCCTTTTTCATTGTTACGTGTTATTTGGCGTTTGTCTCTACTAACCCCAAATCAACATCATAACAGAGTTTAAGTAAACTGATGCCCTTTGTTAGAAAATCAGTTGTGTACAAATTGGGGAAAAAATAGCATCCACTTGATGAAGATAACAATTCATAACAACATTTACATTATTTAGACTATTGTCCTCATCTTTGTTGCCACATTTATTACAATGAATTTTAACTATATACAGACTGGAATTTTGGACTCCACTCTCCGATTTCTCATTCCAGACCACTATTCATTATGCCCCCTGTACAACTGAAGGGCAAAAAAATTTTTTTTTTTTTTTTTTAGGAAGTCTTCATTAGAACGAATTATGTTTGCAAAAAGCTTGGTATATATCTGTTCATCTCTTTTTTTTTTTTTTTTTTTTTCATATAATTTCACCGCAAGCAAGGTGATAAAGCCACTAAGATATAAGGGTTTACTGAGGGTGAAAGAGTATGAGAAGACTTTAGGAGAAGGAACCGTAAAAATTAATTCTTAACAGGAAACAAGGGGATAACCTTCTATTTGTGTTCAAAAAACTGGAAGGGAGCATGAACTGGGAGATAGGTGAACATATTGAAAAGGAAAGAGGAAAAAAAAACTATTAAATAAAATTTGAGTATAGGCAGTGAGATTAGAAATATAGTTAAATTAAGAGCACATGTGATTCAAGTGCATATATTCAGGTAGGGACAGTTCATTATGTAAGCGCTTTCCTTAATGAATTTTAACTATATACGGCCGATTTCTCGTCCAAACGACTATTCATTATGCCCCCTGCACAAGAATTATTACATAATAATAATAAAATTGTTGGGACAAAAACACATTTAGACTAACATGTGAAAACCTATTTGTTGTGTCGGAAACCTACCACCCCTCTTGAAGATGAACTTGTCTGCGTCTGTGAACAAAGACTTTAAATAGTGGCATGTCAGTTGACATGGGGGGGAGACAGATAGACCTAGAGGCTAAGACCTCCGATTCTAGCTGAGTCGTGAAACAGTCTTTGACTGTAAGCGACGTCAGTCGAACTCTCTGCGTTAGCAGAGAGGAACCCGGACGAAGCTCTTGCCAAAGGGCATGGTTTCGTCCGGGGAGGTAGACAGGGCCTGAACCCGTCTAGGCGGGTTCAAAGGCTATATTTTTGGCCGGGCCTACGGGCTCGGAGATACCCACATTAAACCGGCCTTGTGCCATATTCAATCCTCATGGGTGAATCGATAAATACTAAGACAGATAGACAGAGAAGTTCTTAGCTGAGCTAGTTATTGACTACTCAGGCGATTTCTGTACCTTTTTACCAACCTATTAAAACCCTTTTTATTGTTAGGTGTTATTTGGCGTTTGTCTCTACTAACCCCAAATCAACATCATAACACTATTATTAATAATAACAACAAATTTTTCATAGCATTGGTAAACTAGTTTGAAATAATGTTTAGAGCTAATGCAAATTTCTGGGATATTCTTTTTACAAACTTAAAATGTTGAAACTTTTATTCATTCAGAAAGCTTCCTCTGATAAACCATTCCTTTGTGGAACAGACTGTCAAGAAGATGCTCTCCCAATCATTATAATCTCACCTTCTTCAAGTCTAGGGTTAATCATATCTTTCCTGCATATCTCTGTCTGTACTTAACTCTCCCTCTTACATTTATACAACTTCCTCATTTAGTAACCCTTTAACATGAGTGGCTTTGGGCCTTATATTGGGTGAACAATTAGTTAAAACAAAAAAATTAAATCATGGGTCAGCTCATTGTTATTATTTCCTGGGTTCAGAATAATTAACTATAGCCTGTAACTACAATTTATTAGTGCATCTTTAACGAACCATTTGCCTTTTGTTTGTTTGATTTTATTTTTTTTCAATTCGAGCTTCCGTTTGTCTTGAAGCGACCCAAATACTAATTTGGAATTCGAGGAATTTCACCTCTGCTAAGTTTGGCACTATACCAGATAAGAATAGGGAGAAATAAAAAACATTATAAGCCAAATAGCAGAGCGGGGTGGGTGCATATAACAATAAAAGTATATATTCACAGTTTATATATACTAGTTGGTACGTGTCGATTCGCTGGGTACAAGATATTCAAATTACAAAGTTTCCAATTAAAATACTGCATTTATTAGGAAAGATATTTCGTTTATACACAGAAGAAGTCACACGAAATGACATAGTGAACGCGAAAGCAAGAAGCCGGAGGAGATTTCCACAGGCGAGAAGTGCAAGAGAAGAAACCATTAAGATAGAACTTGCGGTTGCATCTCACAATTTCAGCTGTAAAATGACGGGATCTAGCCGCCAATCTTCTTTTATGCGCCGTGTCCCTTCAGGACGTAGCCGATCATGGCCCTCCACATCCTTCTGTCATTTGTAGCTCTTAAGTTTTGTATTTTTGTTATTTCTCCCAAGACTTCTTCTTCCATCCATTTACTCAAGCCCCTCAAATATTTAACGCTTTGCTCTCCCCTGCCCCTCTCTCACTCTGTCCGACCTGTGAGTGTCAGATTTTCCAAGCCCTCGTGCCTCATTACATGCCTCAGAAATTTCAGCTGCCCCTTCCTGATGTTAAGTATAAGTTTCCTCTTTGTCTCCATTCGTTCCAACACCTCGTCGTTGCTCACATGTTCGGCCCACGGTATTCTCAGCATCCTTCTGTAGAACCACATTTCTGTTGCTTCAAGTCTCTTCTTCATCTGTGAGGAGATTGTCCAGCATTCATTGCCATATAGGAGGACTGATATTACGTAACAGTTCAGTACTCTTTTCTTTGTTTCTGTTGCTTCAAGTCTCTTCTTCATCTGTGAGGAGATTGTCCAGCATTCATTGCCATATAGGAGGACTGATATTACGTAACAGTTCAGTACTCTTTTCTTTGTTTTGTTGCTTCAAGTCTCTTCTTCATCTGTGAGGAGATTGTCCAGCATTCACTGCCATATAGGAGGACTGATATTACGTAACAGTTCAGTACTCTTTTCTTTGTTTCTGTTGCTTCAAGTCTCTTCTTCATCTGTGAGGAGATTGTCCAGCATTCACTGCCATATTGGAGGACTGATATTACGTAACAGTTCAGTACTCTTTTCTTTGTTTCTGTTGCTTCAAGTCTCTTCTTCATCTGTGAGGAGATTGTCCAGCATCCACTGCCATATATGAGGACTGATATTACGTAACAGTTCTGTACACTTTTCTTTATTTCCAACGAAATTTTCCAGTCTCTTAATACTTTGCTTAGCTTTTGTAACGCGTCTTTGGCCATCTCAATACATCTTCAGATCTCAGTGTCACACTTTCCGTCCTCTAATTTCGTAATGTTGAGATACCAAAAAGCCAGACGCCTCATAACAATTGCCGTAAAGATATTTATAGAAAAGGCAGAGGGAAGCTACATTACGGCGGTGGTAAAGAGACTGGAGCCGAGATGCCAGGTCAGGACCAATGACATTGCAAATAATGTTCGAGATTCCTCTTTGGATTTTGCCAAGAATTTCTAGGCACACAGGAGAAGCACCAGTCGAGATGTGGCAAATATTCAAAGCAAGGAAGAATCGCAGACTTTTAATAATGCAAGCGAGATTCAGGCAAGAAAGATTATCCTACCCGACAAAGTTTGGAAAAGACAATGGATAGTTGATAAAAAATAAACAAACGAACAGTTTCAACAAGATAAGAGAAGATATATATATAATATATATATATATATATATATATATATATATATATATATATATATATATATATATATATATATATATATATATATATATATATATGTATGTATATATATATGTATGTATGTATATATATATAGAGAGAGAGATTGAAAAAAATTATATGTGTCTGAGCAAAAATGAAAAAGTTACTTCTCTTATACTGTGAAAACAAAAAAGCACGTGAACTTAGAACTTTCAAATCTAGAACGCTGCATGAGCAGTAAAAAACGAACAGTTGAAATGTTTCGAATTTACAGAAACGCATATGAAGAGTGTTTCATTAAGGCGGATTATATATAAAGGGTGTTTCATTAAGACGGATCAAAATCAGTAGTAAATAAATCGGCGTTATTGGTGGAAATTTATTTATTTCTCTATTGGTTCATGTTATTTAAGTCACGACAATTATGCGTAAAAAAATAATATCGCCCAAATGTCCGCCAATGCGACACACCTCCATTCGATGGTCAAAATTTTTGTTGACGTCTCTGCATAGTTGAGCCTCGATCTCACCAATATGCCTTATCTCAACCTGCAGTTGTTTAATTGCTGGCATAGACCTTACTTTTGAGATGACCCCAAACGAAGAAATCTAAAGGCATCAAGTCGCACGATCGTGGTGGCTAATTGGCTTCGCTATTTCGAGAGATGAATCGACCTGGGAACTTCAATTTCTATTTGAACGTCCATTTTCGTAATAGGCTTTGATAATTCTAACATGTTTGATTGTTAATCTTTCCATGGTTGAAATTGCCAAAGACTTACGTTGTTAAATCTGAAAGACAAAAAAAATCATTAGACGCTTAAACTTAATTCACATTTAAAATCGGTCGAAGTCAGCAGTAAATAAATCAGTGTTATTGGTGAAAATTTATTTATTTCTCTATTGGATCATGTTATTTAAGTCATGACAATTACGTGTGAAGAATAATATCACCCAAATGTCCGCCAAATCTGAAAGAAAAAAAGAAAAAAAATCATTTGACACTTAAACTTAATTCACATTGTTTGAAAGAGAATTTTGGAATTTTTCTTAATTTTCTAAGATGCGATTTGCTGGTTGGGAAATAGAAAGTGTCGTAAGGCAAGGATGCGCCTTCTCACCGGACCTGTTCAACCTATACAGCGAGACAATTCTGAGAGAATTGGAAAGCCCTACCGGGATTTAGCATTAGCGGCCACAATCTTAACAAAATAAGATACGCAGATGACACAGTATTGATAGCAGACACGGAAGAGAAATTACAAAATCTCCGACAGAAGGTAACGACGGAGAGTGTGAAGAAGGGACTAAGCACAAACTACAAGAAGACAGAATGCATGATCATCTGTAGAAGGAAGAGCCGGAAATGCGATTTGCAGGTCGGGAACACTAGAATCAAGCAGACGTGGAAGTTTAAATATCTGGGAAGCGTCTAGACAGAGGACCGTAAGTGCGACACTGAGATCCGTAGACGTATTGGGATGGCCAAGGACGCATTCCAAAAGCTGTGCAAAGTACTGCGAGACAGGAGGATATCTTTGGTAACAAAGAAATGAATACTGAGCTGTTACGTGACATCAATCCTCCTTTACGGCAGGGAATATTGTACGATTTCCTCAAAGATGAAGAAGAGACTCGAGGCGACGGAGACGTAGTTCTACAGAAGGATGCTGAGGATACCATGGATTGAGCGTGTCAGGTCTTGGAGAGAACGCAAATAAGGAAGAAACTTATACTTAACACCAGGAAGAGGCAGCTGAAGTTTCTGGGATGCATAATGAGGAAGGAAGGCCTGGAGAATCTGATACTCACGAGTCGAATAGAGGGAAAGAGAGACAAGGGACGCATAACACACCTGTCGGGCTTGAGCAAGTCGATGAGAGAACGTAATCTGGGGGAGGAAGCAGAGGGAAGGAAATTGTTCAGTGCCGCAAGGGATAGAAGGAGGTGGAGAGCCATGATCGCCTACGTCCTGAAAGGACATGGCGCATAAAAAGAAAGAAAGAAGGCTAACAAGAAATTAATCCGTGAACTCGTAATGATCACAACGAAAACTAATCGACATATGTCCAAATTATTTATAGGTATATATATATATATATATATATATATATAATGCAAGACTCTTTGGTAAATCGAATCGAGTTCTCACAGTCACTGTGTGTTTATCTAAAAACAAATACGCTTAAATACACTTTCATCCCTGCCGTGAGCCAATGGCTTAGTAGAATCCCCGACTGACGCTAATTCAGTCGGGTTTCGATCCTAGCTAGAGATGGAAGATATACAATATAATAAATGGAATATAAACGTAATATATGCCAATATGCAACATATGCCAATACATTATACGCATAGATACACACAGATAGATAGATAGATAGATAATGAACATAAAGAGATTGATAGATACATGTGAATAGAATGATGTAGATAGAATGATAAATATGAACATAATGGGATATAGATAGATAGATAGATAGATAGATAGATAGATAGATAGATAGATAGATAGATAGATAGATAAACATCTGAGATAGATACATATATGCATAAATAATTATCTGAGATAGATAGTTATTAAGAGAATGAGATAGTGATACTATGAAACAGTCTGTGGATGAATATATATATATATATATATATATATATATATATATATATATATATATATATATGTATATATATATATCAGGTCATCCCATAAGTTCTGTCCGAATTTTGAATAAAGAAAACAAGTGACCAAATGTTACATTTAATTACAGATTCAATCAACAATGTATTTTCCCTGATTATCTTTGACTTTCTTCCATCTATTAACAAGCTTACTAATTTGTATTACTGTAAAATTCTTTTGGCTTTGATTCGAAGAACTCACAAATGTCAGTTTTAACCTCTTCCTGTGTTACAAAAGCTGTTTCTTCCAAATGATTCTGTAAGCTACAAAACAAATGGTAGTCTGAAGGAGCAAGATCGGGAGAATAAGGTGGATGAGAAATTTTCTCCCAACCAAGTTCTTCGATCTTTTGTGACGTGATTCTTGCTGTGTGGGGTCGCGCATTGTTCTGATGAAACATCACCTCTTTTCGATTCACTAGAGCAGATCTTTTTTTTTCCTCAAAGCTTGGTTCAAACGCTCTAATTGCTGACAGTATATTTGAGCATTAAATGTTGCATTAGGTGGTAAGAATTCAAAGTGGATTATTCCTTGGCGATTCCACCAGATTGAAAGAAGAACCTTTTGCCCATGAAGTTCCCTTCTCGACTGTGGCTGGGGTCCTTCCCCTTTACCAAGCCACTGTCTACGATGCTTAACATTTCGATAAAAGATCCATTTTTCGTCGCCAGTCACAAGTCTATCCAAAAAAGGTGAATCAAGTTGGCGAGAATGGAGAGAAGAGCAGATATCAACTCGGGATTTGAGGTTGTTTTCAGACAATTCATGAGGCACCCATTTTCCAAGTTTAAGAACTTTTCCAAGTTGTTGAAGATGACGATGAACAGTTGTATGGTTTGAAGAGAGAACCACTGCCAATTCCTCAACTGAAAAAAATTTTCTTCAAGGGCTGCTTCAAGAAGATTTTCATCAAAATCAACTGGACGTCGGTTCGATCTTCATCTTCAAGGGTGAAATCTCCACCTCTGAATTTTGCAAACCATCTTCTGCAAGTTCTTTCATTCACACATTCCTCTCCATAAACTGAGTGAATGTTTCTAGCCTCTTCGGCTGCTGAGTTTCCTTTCTTGAACTCATAAATCATTATGTGCCTCAAATGATTCTTGGGCACTTCCATGTTAATTTTATTGTTCTCTGAAATAAAATTTGATCAGTTTAAATGCATCTAAACATAAAAATAATGTTCAGCTCCATTAGACATTATAAAATAGTCTTTAAATTTCGTTCATTTTAACAAAAAGTTAAAATTCGGACAGAACTTATGGGATGACCTGATATATATATATATATATATATATATATATATATATATATATATATATATATATATGTGATGAATTTCCACCGTTTAATTAACGTCTGCGTGGCATTATCGCCTTACTTCGATTGAATTGAAACTGAAAGAGAAAGAAAAAAGAAAAGGCCTTACAAAAAAACTGGAAACCCAATCCTAAACAGGAATCAAGGGATAAGCCTCTACTCCTCTATTCACCCCCAAGCAAGGTGATAATGCCACTAAGATGCAAGGGGCTACTGGGAGGAAAGAGAATGAAAAAGACTTTAGAAGGAACCAGAAACCCAATCCTAAACTGGAAACAAGGATAAACCTCTACTCCTCTATTCACCCCAAGCAAGGTGATAATGCCACTAAGATGCAAGGGGGGCTACTGGGAGGAAAGAGAATGAGAAGACTTTAGAAGGAACCAGAAACCCAATCCTAAACTGGAAACAAGGGATAAACCACTACTCCTCTATTCACCCCAAGCAAGGTGATAATGCCACTAAGATGCAAGGGGCTACTGGGAGGAAAGAGAATGAAAAGACTTTAGAAGGAACCAGAAACCCAATCCTAAACAGGAATCAAGGGATAAGCCTCTACTCCTCTATTCACCCCAAGCAAGGTGATAATGCCACTAAGATGCAAGGGGCTACTGGGAGTGAAAGAGAATGAAAAAGACTTTAGAAGGAACCAGAAACCCAATCCTAAACAGGAATCAAGAGATAAGCCTCTACTCCTCTATTCACCCCAAGCAAGGTGATAATGCCACTAAGATGCAAGGGGCTGCTGGGAGTGAAAGAGAATGAAAAAGACTTTAGAAGGAACCAGAAACCCAATCCTAAACAGGAATCAAGGGATAAGCCTCTACTCCTCTATTCACCCCAAGCAAGGTGATAATGCCACTAAGATGCAAGGGGCTACTGGGAGTGAAAGAGAATGAAAAAGACTTTAGAAGGAACCAGAAACCCAATCCTAAACTGGAAACAAGGGATAAACCTCTACTCCTCTATTCATCCCAAGCAAGGTGATAATGCCACTAAGATGCAAGGGACTACTGGGAGTGAAAGAGAATGAGAAGACTTTAGAAGGAACCAGAAACCCAATCCTAAACAGGAATCAAGGGATAAGCCTCTACTCCTCTATTCACCCCAAGCAAGGTGATAATGCCACTAACATGCAAGGGGCTACTGGGAGTGAAAAGAGAATGAAAAAAGACTTTAGAAGGAACCAGAAACCCAATCCTAAACTGGAAACAAGGATAAACCTCTACTCCTCTATTCACCCCAAGCAAGGTGATAATGCCACTAAGATGCAAGGGGCTACTGGGAGTGAAAAGAGAATGAGAAGACTTTAGAAGGAACCAGAAACCCAATCCTAAACTGGAAACAAGGGATAAACCTCTACTCCTCTATTCACCCCAAGCAAGGTGATAATGCCACTAAGATGCAAGGGGCTACTGGGAGGAAAGAGAATGAGAAGACTTTAGAAGGAACCAGAAACCCAATCCTAAACTGGAAACAAGGGATAAACCTCTACTCCTCTATTCACCCCAAGCAAGGTGATAATGCCACTAAGATGCAAGGGGCTACTGGGAGTGAAAGAGAATGAGAAGACTTTAGAAGGAACCAGAAACCCAATCCTAAACTGGAAACAAGGGATAAACCTCTACTCCTCTATTCACCCCAAGCAAGGTGATAATGCCACTAAGATGCAAGGGGCTACTGGGAGTGAAAGAGAATGAGAAGACTTTAGAAGGAACCAGAAACCCAATCCTAAACTGGAAACAAGGGATAAACCTCTACTCCTCTATTCACCCCAAGCAAGGTGATAATGCCACTAAGATGCAAGGGGCTACTGGGAGTGAAAGAAAATGAGAAGACTTTAGAAGGAACCAGAAACCCAATCCTAAACAGGAAACAAGGGATAAACCTCTACTCCTCTATTCACCCCAAGCAAGGTGATAATGCCACTAAGATGCAAGGGACTACTGGGAGTGAAAGAGAATGAGAAGACTTTAGAAGGAACCAGAAACCCAATCCTAAACAGGAATCAAGGGATAAGCCTCTACTCCCTCTATTCACCCCAAGCAAGGTGATAATGCCACTAAGATGCAAAGGGCTACTGGGGGAGAAAAAGAGAATGAAAAAGACTTTAGAAGGAACCAGAAACCCAATCCTAAACTGGAAACAAGGATAAACCTCTACTCCTCTATTCACCCCAAGCAAGGTGATAATGCCACTAAGATGCAAGGGGCTACTGGGAGTGAAAGAGAATGAAAAAAAAAGACTTTAGAAGGAACCAGAAACTTAATCCTTAATAGGAAACAAGGGATAAACCTCTACTCCTCTATTCACCCCAAGCAAGGTGATAATGCCACTAAGATGCAAGGGACTACTGGGAGTGAAAGAGAATGAGAAGACTTTAGAAGGAACCAGAAACCCAATCCTAAACAGGAATCAAGGGATAAGCCTCTACTCCTCTATTCACCCCAAGCAAGGTGATAATGCCACTAACATGCAAGGGGCTACTGGGAGTGAAAGAGAATGAAAAAGACTTTAGAAGGAACCAGAAACCCAATCCTAAACTGGAAACAAGGGATAAACCTCTACTCCTCTATTCACCCCAAGCAAGGTGATAATGCCACTAAGATGCAAGGGGCTACTGGGAGTGAAAGAGAATGAAAAAGACTTTAAAAGGAACCAGAAACTTAATCCTTAATAGGAAACAAGGGATAAACCTCTACTCCTCTATTTACCCCAAGCAAGGTGATAATGCCACTAAGATGCAAGGGACTACTGGGAGTGAAAGAGAATGAAAAAGACTTTAGAAGGAACCAGAAACCCAATCCTAAACAGGAATCAAGGATAAGCCTCATCCTCTATTCACCCCAAGCAAGGTGATAATGCCACTAACATGCAAGGGGCTACTGGGAGTGAAAGAGAATGAAAAAGACTTTAGAAGGAACCAGAAACCCAATCCTAAACTGGAAACAAGGGATAAACCTCTACTCCTCTATTCACCCCAAGCAAGGTGATAATGCCACTAAGATGCAAGGGGCTACTGGGAGTGAAAGAGAATGAGAAGACTTTAGAAGGAACCAGAAACCCAATCCTAAACAGGAAACAAGGGATAAACCTCTACTCCTCTATTCACCCCAAGCAAAGTGATAATGCCACTAAGATGCAAGGGGCTACTGGGAGTGAAAGAGAATGAGAAGACTTTAGAAGGAACCAGAAATCCAATCCTAAACAGGAAACAAGGATAAACCTCTACTCCTCTATTCACTCCAAGCAAGGTGATAATGCCACTAAGATGCAAGGGGCTACTGGGAGTGAAAGAGAATGAGAAGACTTTAGAAGGAACCAGAAACCCAATCCTAAACAGGAAACAAGGGATAAACCTCTACTCCTCTATTCACCCCAAGCAAGGTGATAATGCCACTGAGATGCAAGGGGCTACTGGGAGTGAAAGAGAATGAAAAAGACTTTAGAAGGAACCAGAAACTTAATCCTTAATAGGAAACAAGGGATAAACCTCTACTCCTCTATTCACCCCAAGCAAGATGATAATGCCACTAAGATGCAAGGGACTACTGGGAGTGAAATACTTATATATATATATATATATATATATATATATATATATATATAATTGGTATCGAATTTACGCAAAAATGAAAAGAACATTGGCATCTAATTTTGCCAAATATATTTATCAAAATTGCCTTCAAATACTAAATTTATTCAGCTTTGATTTGATATAGGTGCATAGTTTTAGAAATACAAATGACTAAGGCGAAAAAGTGAAAACTGTGACATTGTAATGACAGCATATTGTAATGTTTCCTGTATGCGTTGAAATTCGATTTTGTGGTCTGTGGGGTTTCTTTATGTGAGCTAATCTTCAGAGCACACAGAATAGCATGCCAAAGATCAATCTTTCTTGGTAAATAAATTAGCTGTTCGCCAATGTAAAACCATCCTCATCAAAAGACTCAACGGGTTTTCGGACGAACAGGATGGTCGCTTCACAAGGCACGTGTCTTTGTAACCTATGTTATTTGCAGTAAACGAGATATGTACAGCGATGGAAGATATACAATATAATAAATGGAATATAAACCAATACGTAATATATGCCAATGTGCAACATATGTCAATACATTATACGCATAGATAGATAGATAGATAGATAGATAGATAGATAGATAGATAATGAACAGAAAGAGATTGATAGATACGTGTGAATAGAATGATGTAGATAGAATGATAAGTATGAACAGAATAAGATAGATAGATAGATAGATAGATAGATAGATAGATAATGGACAGTCTGAGATAGATAGATAGATAGATAGATAGATAGATAGATAGATAGATAGATAGATAGATAGATAGATAGATAGATAAACATCTGCGATAGATACAAATATGCATAAATAATTATCTGAGATAGATATTAAGAGAATGAGATACTTACATAGATATGAACAGAATGAGATAGATAGATAGATAGATAGATAGATAATGGACAGTCTGAGATAGATAGATAGATAGATAGATAGATAGATAGATAGATAGATAGATGTATAAATAATTATCTGAGATAGATATTAAAAGAATGTGATACATACATAGATATGAACAGAATGAGATAGATAGACAAATAGATAATGGACAGTCTGAGATAGATAGATAGATAGATAGATAGATAGATAGATAGATAGATAAACATCTGAGATAGATACATATATGCATAAATAATTATCTGAGATACTAAGAGAATGAGATACTTACATAGATATGAACAGAATGAGATAGATAGATAGATAGATAGATAGATAGATAGATAGATAGATAGATAGATAAACATCTAAAGCATATATGCATAAATAGTAATCTGAGATAGATAGTTATAAACAGAATGAGATATATACATACATATGAACAGAATGAGATAAACTCTCTGCCACTCCTCTCGATCGTACCAATAAGATTCAAAGAAATACAGGGCATTACATTTGGGGTTGGCTTGCCTGCAGCAGTTGCCAGAAGGTTGTCTCCATTGACCAACCGCCATTTTCTATCTGGATTTATTTCCATCGCCATTTTCCGTGTTTGGATATGGCCGTAAGGAAGTGGAGGTTTAAAATGAGTGTTTTCCATCCCTCTTGATGCACTGCCTTCCCGGACTAACAAGCTACATCTAACCAAAAGTCTGGCACAAGGATATTGCATCCTTGTGCCAGACCTTTAGAGGATCTACGAAGAGGATATTCAGTGTCTAAGTTGTTTATTCTCCTCCACATCGGCTGGCACGCACAATTAACCCAATCTAATGTCGAGATATCTATATCTACAAACGCGCATTTCCCGATATTTAACTATATTTTAAATATAAACTTTAAAAAAAATATTGAAAAAATCTGAAGATTATATGAAACCTGAAACTGACAGTCACCATGCAATGCTGATTCTTATGTCCACACTGCCTATCAAAATATTGAACACTCTTTCCCTAGAGATAGCGGAAACTTTCAAATATTTTTGTTGCAGTAAAATAAGAAATTATATATATTTTAAGGCATTTTTATGTCTACACATTCTTTTTTAAAGATACAAATATTTAAGTAAATGCTCTGTTTATAATAAACAGTATTAACAACATTTACCGGCCTGAATGTCCGAGAAATTGTCATAGAAAATATTCGTCCTCCGACAGGAATCGAACCTGTATCCTATACGGAACCGTCATATAGCCTGACGTGCCTTAACCGTTTCGGCCACAGAGGAGCGTTTCGGTTAGCAAGGTCGATTTTACTGTTTTTAAACTATAATCTTCCATGATTTTCTCACGTACATTCATAACTGATCTATCAACTTGTGATCTGTGATGACGTGAAACCTAAATTAGAATGCAGAATTCATATCGCACTATGTAAAACATATGGAAGGAGCATATGAGGCAGATCTTTGATTTAGTGAGGATTTATACTCTTGATGATTGCTACTAATTCATCGGTAACTTCCTTATGGTTTTATATATAGAGATCCCGACCACATTGTCAAGGCGTCTTACACCTTCCTGTTCATCTTCACACTACAGGAATATATTTACAATGTCGATATACTACACCACGAAATTAATAAACAAATATTTCAAATTCTCAAGGTCCTCTATCTCAAAATCAACCAACACTCAATAAAATTCATTACAAATATAGTAACAACATATTAAAGTGCATATAACTTTCAAGTACTAATGCTATTTTAAATTTCTACCAATTTCCGGTTAGGTCCCTTACTATCATTTACGATTGCTTTGCAAAAAATTCTATAACTGAAACGGATAAATTGACAAATTCTAAAATACCTATAACAGATCGCATTCGCACGTGTTTTTAAAAGTGTAAAAATTTGGGAATTCTGGGAAATTTGATTATATATATATATATATATATATATGTTATAAATTAATTGATTTAAAATATGTTTTTTTTCGCTACACAGTTCTAACCATGTTTCAAAAATGGAAGCTAAAAGCCCCGAATTTAATTTTGTAATTAAATTAAAGACATTAGTTCCATTTCATCCTAACTTACACGAGAAACAATATATTACTAGGTTTATATAAAAAATAAAAGTTTACGAAATCAGTGAAATTAAGTAGCTAATTTTGCCGTCATTGTCCTAAATTTTACTTAAAGAATATTTAAATATAAAAAAATTTGTAACCTAATAATTTACATATACTTGATGTGATAATAATTCTACAAACTGTAAGGGATTCTAGTTACATTTAATTGTTCTTAAAAGAAATATAGTATATTAAAAATTAAAAGTAAAAATATTTCAAATCGTAGTTAAATAAAAAGTATTCTAACCTAAACACCCCCAAAAATCTTATGGAAAAAAATGCCGTAAGAATTTTTGCCGTTAACAATAAATTTTTAAAAAAATCCAGACGACATGCTTTTAACGGATGTTAGATTTCATTGAAAAATACATCCCTACACCCTACCAAAACGTAACTAATAACTGATACATTAAAATATAGATATAATGAACACCCAGACACCCCTTGTCTAGTGGAAGTGGATTTATCTGTAACCTTGGAAACATGAATTATGATTTTAGCTGTGTCTTTAAAACCCAGTAATTTTTTAAAAGTTACTCCAAAATTTGCTTGAGGATGACATGGAACTAATGTCTTTAATTTAATTACAAAATTAAATTCGGGGCTTTTAGCTTCCATTTTTGAAATATGGTTAGAACTGTGTAGCGAAAAAAACATATTTTAAATCAATTTATAATATTAATGCTCTGTAAATTTACATTGAGTACTATTTTGTAAAAATAAAAATATCTATAAGAACACCGGATTATATATCTTACTGTTCTTTCTTTATATATATATATATATATATATATATATATATATATATATATATGGTAGCTGTTGATTCTTTCAGTGAGTATAACCATTGCTGAGAAATTCGATCAATGTTTTTTTTTATTATTATTATTTCTCGTGAGAACGACAACTCTTGAAGCGAATAAGTGACTTGCAAAGCTTATTGCAGATGTGACAGACTAAACTGCTTTTGTACAGGGCCTGGCCTGTTTTGTAAACTCTCTTCGGCTTGCTCAGCGCTTTTCATATGACGGGTGAGACACCGAGACGCTTTCTGTGGGTTTTCATTCAAAGAAATACGAATACAATAAGCAACCACCAAAAAAAATGAATAGATAAAATAAAATAAAATAAGCAAAATCCTCAAACTAAATCAGCAAAACGTCAGAAATAATCTAAATAAATCAGTAAACAAATTCAGCCAATAATAAACAAACAACAAATGCAGACATAAACACTATTAAATATAATAATAATAATAAACAACAAATAAGAAGTTTATTATTAGTATATATATATATATATATATATATATATATATATATTAGATAGAGATGTCTGATTTCTTTTATTAATATTAATAAAAGAAATCAGACATCTCTATCTAAATATTTTTGGCATTTGAAGGAAATGAATAAAACACCAAAAGTAAAATGGAAAATTATAAACAAAACTAGAACTTGTAAAACTTGGGATGACCCATGCCCTTTATGCCTACATGAAAAACTACACATTATTAAGTTTCTAAATAATAAAAATCTATTAAACAATAGACAGGTGTTAACGGTTTTTTTCCGACATCATCAAATTTTCGCATTGAATAATTAGCATAAAAAACAAAGAAACAATAAAATAATAAATACAAATTTTAAACTCCATAGTCTAAATAAAAAGTATAAAATAAAAAATAAAAAAAACCTTTATGAAGTCGTCAAAAAAACAAATGTTAGCGACTTACGACAGTTTTTTTTATATAAACAAAACCCTTTCAGGAAAAAAATAAGAAAATAAAATAAAAATGAATAAATAAATCTCCATAGACACTTAACCAGACTAGACAATGTCATCTTCTGCTTTAAATTTAGACACTCCAACCTTACCCTGACTTGACGTCTGTGAATGTAACTGAGATATTGATACAAATTATTCACCCTTACGCCCCTTTTCTTTAAGCAATTGCTCTTGCCGTTACCATAGTAATTTTAATTTCAATATTGAATATGCTTATAAAACACGTAAATTTCAAGAATAAGTTATTCCAAAAAACATTCCGCTTGAAGATGGAACAGAGCTTGGTACTTTAATTCAATTTAATTCAAATAATTATATTGAAGTTTTCGGCTCTTGTTTTGAAACATGAGAGCTCTTATGTAGCGTTGGAATCATATTTTTAAATAAATAATTATATTTAGGCTCTACTTTTGTATCGAGCACTATTTTTTAAAAAAATAACAAAATACTAAAGAACTTTGGATTATTTACCTAACGAGTTCTTTCTTATTTTCTATATATTTTACACACACACACACACACACACACACACACACACACATATATATATATATATATATATATATATATATATATATATATATATATATTGGCACGTGGCCGAGCGGTTAGAACATTCACATTCAGACCCGGGTTCGAATCTCACCATGGTCGATTTGTCAGGAAGGAGACTTCCTGATGTTATCGGACTGGAAGGGTGGAGTGCCTGAAAAACCATACCTCGGGTTGACCCAACCCTTGTGAGCGAAATTGTTTAGACGGAACACTTGGGAGTCGCCTATAGCTGTGCTAGCACGAAGTCACAAGTCATCGTGGTCGAGGGCTTGAGCGTGTTGGCTTTGTTCAAATTAGTGATCACGCTAGATAACACGCTCTTTCCCAGAAACTGTAACTAAGGTCTGCTCAGCATAGTTGCAGTACAAACCACAGATGGGCTTCGTGGGTGTTGAATAAACAACAATAATGTGCCTGAGCGAGTGCCTGCAATAGGGATTGGCTAGCCGCCCTAATAGACAGATATCGTCGAATACGAGTGGCCAGCTATACTATACTAGTACATGCATTATACACCGCGCAGATGATACAACCTACTTTAGACAAAGACAATATTTTAAACTAAACAAAAAATAAAATCAGCTACAGAAGAATAAAAAATAAAGATGAATAAATGAATGAGTAAAAAAAATATTCACCACGGAGAACCCTCCGTGCTCTCCATAAAAATGGCTGATTCCCAGTTCCTTGAGAGCGCCTCGTTACGCCTGCTTGGTCTCACGCTGTCCACTGACATAGAGGTGGAATAAATACATTGAATCTATAGCTACATCTACTGCAAGGAAAGTTGGTTCTCTGTGTCGTACCAGAAAGTTTTCCTCGTCTGAGTCCCTCCTTCAAATCTATAAATCAACCATCCGTCCTTGCATGAAATATTGCTGTCTTTTATGGTC